TCTTGGGTGGTACCCGGAACTTGCTACTCTGGGCTGACCCAGAGCAAAAAGATTGTTCCAGAAGGTAGGAGTAATAGTGATTGATCTTCCAGGCATTCCTATCACTCGTGTTAATAGGAGTCTGCTGAGCAGGAGAGCTGGAACCCTGGACTCCTCTGAGTCCTGAGGTTTTCTCTGCTCCCTGCTGTTAGAGACTCAGATAACTCAGTGTCTCACATCAGACCCACAGGTCTACAAGTTTGAACCTTATCATCCTGGGAGCAGCCCAAATGTCTTCCCTCTGAGTCCCGCTATGACTCTCTCCTTGAGAGCAAAGAGCAGATCCTTCTTCTCAGACAGAAGATGGCTGGTGTTTATCTCACTGCACCAACCAGAAGCAAAAGACACTAAGACCCCAGAACCTTAATCTTACTCAGAGCCCTCGCCCCACAATCTCACTGCCCAATGGAAGTCTTGGACATTCAGTCTCCTTCTCAGGGGTCGTGTGTGGGTCCAGAGAGCTAATCTCAAACTCCCACCAAAGACTGGGTGTGGCATACAAGCCCCCTCTCTCTATGATATTTCTCTCTCTCTCTCTCTCTCTCTCTCTCTCTCTCTCTCTCTCTCTTTATCTTTATTGTTGAAAATATTACATATGTCTCCTTTTTCCCCCATTGACCCCATCAAGTCCGCTCCCACCCTCCGCTCTATTATATTTCTACTCCTGACACTCACTACCTACCTCCTGCCCCCAAGTCTCAGATGCACAGCATTCAATCAGGATCTGCCCTTTTGAAGCAACAACTCAAACATTTCACTCATTTTTCTGACCTTACCAGTAGGAATTTCACTCCTCAGTGATTTGTATTATATGACCTCAGAAAATTATTTCATAATCACAAAGTGATGGTTGATAATCCCATTGTCCTATTGGAAAAGATTGACTGTAGGAGACATAGCTCTGGATTTTGTCCTGTCCCATCACTTGAAACTTGGTGACAACCTCACTGTACCTTAATTTTTTCTAAAATAAACTAATTATAAAAATGTGCCTTCAGTATGGTAGGTTCTCAGTGTTAATGGAACATGATGTGAGCAGGTAGACAGATGCCCTTGGTGGTTAAGCCAAAGTCCCTGAATACCTGATGCTGGGAAGAAAAAAAAAATAGGATGTCTCCCCATACATAATTCCAAATAACATTTTCTTTTTCAAAATAACAAAAGGATTTTTTTTAGGGCAGTGAAAATACTCTGTATTATACTACAATAATGGATGCAGGCCAGTATATATTTACCCAACTCCATAGAATGTGTAATACCAAGAGTGAACCCTAATGTAAGCTATGGACTATAAGGGATGATAATGTGTAGGTTCACCAAGTATAGCAAATGTACCATTCTGGTAGGGAAGTCTGTGAATGTGAGAAGGTGAGGAATGTGAAAGAATTCTGTACTTGTCACTCAGTTTTGCCATGAACCAAAACTGCTGTAAAGAGTCATTTCTTAATTTTTAAAAAAAAAATTACATAGAAGGTACTTTTAAGCAAAATTAAGACCTATGATTTCTCAAAGCTGGAGTTTCCTCTCTTTCTCTTTTTGTATACCCTGCCCTGCTGATATCCTCCACTCAGTGGATCATCCCACATGGACCACCAACCTACAAGGTCAGGGAGGGCCAACTGGTCTGTAGACTCCCCATTGCCCTATAATTAATGAGTCCCTTTTCGAGAATATCGTGATTGATGACTAATGTCTATAAAAGCACAATGTCCTCAAAAAGATAAGGAGGTGTAAGTGACGTGGCAGCCCTTCAAAGAGAGAACCCAAATGAAAAGTGGGTAGAAAGGGGAAAAGATGAGAAAAGGTAGAGACAAAAGCCTGAGCTCACAATGAAAAAAGCCACAAGAGCTTGAGACACTCTTAATCGTGAAAAGGAGGAGCACAAGATGGAGATAGAAGACAGTAGGGTTCTGTTGTCTGCAGAAGGGGAAGCAGGCAGCCTTGCCTTCCCTGCCCTGGGTGTTGAAATCAAGGGAGATGAGAGGGAGAGTGTGTGTAGACCAGTGACAAAGTCAGCTGGCCTCTATCCTACACTGTCTACCACAGAACCCGTAGCTGTGCCTGTGGATGAATCAGTGAGTCACCAAGGAAAAGTGAACTTATCGTTGGCATCCCCAGTTTAGAAGAAAGTGTGGAAAGAGTTGGAAAGATTTTCAAAGAAAAATACTCAAGTGAAAAGATTCTAAAGGCAAGATGATAGTCAGTGTTGGTCAGATTAGAGAGACAGTTCCCGTTTGTTCCAGCACTCCCCTTTATGGGAATTTCTCCCACAGATTTCCTTCAGCATGTGTGCAATGATGTACCTATGATGTACAATGATGTCGCTTGTAACTGCAAAAGTGTGAAAACCACAAGGTTGTTCATCAAATAGAGGACTGTTCAATAAATAAGGGCACAGCCCTGCAGTGGAATACAATACATGTGTAAAACAGACCCAAGAAATGAGAAAGCTTTCTGTGTATTGACAAGGAGACATCTCTAAGATCCATTGCTTAGTCAAAAAAAAAGAAAAAAAAAGGGAAGGCTCAAAACTACAGTATGCTACTTTGGGGATAGAAGTTCAAATGGAAACATTTCAAAATGCGTTTCTGCTTGTGTTTTTATAAAAGGTGAGTATCTGCAAGGTGAGGAGTGAGTTGAATAAATGTGGGTAGAGAACAATACAAAGGCTTTTGCACAGAACCCCTTTTTATATTGTTTTGTTTTGAATCTTGTGAATATTACTGATTTGAACATTTTAAATAGTAACCAAGATAGATAGTGAGTACCCACTATCTAGGTATTTTGTTGTCACCCCAGTACAGTGAGTTGGGAAAATAGGAGTGCACTGTGTTTGCATATGGTTGATATCTCCCCTCAGCATTTTCCAAGCGTTGAATTTTGGAGGTCACTCCCATCCCAGCCCCAATATCACTTGGGCATCCTGCTGCTCTTCCTTTTAGAAGATGAGTCTGCTAGGGTGACCCAGACGAACAGAGACATGATTCTCTGGCCTTGAAAATGCGGGGCACTCAGAGTCAGACCAAGAGTATGTGTGTGGGGAGACGGCAGACTCACCGATTGCCAGAATCAAGGGTGGGAGAGAACAGGATACCACTTATCTCCTCACCACTTATCTTCCTCATTCCAGACCCAAACACCAGACCAGTATGTCTCCAACTGAGTAAAAACTGGGAACATGGGATAATGCCACATGTGAAGAATGTGTGGAATCCCACACACAGCACAACAGTGATGTACTTCATTTAGTTTATGAAATACAATATCTGTGGAATCCTCTTGTGTGATTTAAAAAAAAAAAAAAGACCCACTTGATTAGAAATTAGGGGAAAATGGATTCCCAACTGGAATCTGTTGCCATCTGGCAGTAGAATCCCTTGCACGTCATTGAACTTCTCTTTGCCTTCCTCATCTAAACATGTGATAATTTTTTTAAAAAAAAATTTATTTTTATTTCAAAGAGGAAGGCAGAGGGGGAGAAAGTTAGAAACATCAATGATGATAGAGAATCATTGATTGGCTGCCTCCTACACACCCCCTGCTGGGAATCTGAGACCACAACCTGGGCATGTGCCTTGACTGGAATCGAACCCGGAATCCTTCAGTCCCCAGGCTGACGCTCTATCCTCTGAGTCAAACCAGCTGGGGCAAAACATGTGATAATTGCCTAACCAAGTACACAGAGGTTAAGTAAGAACACAAGAGGCTTGAAAAAGTACAAACATAACTTTGAAGTTAACTGAAGGCATGCTTATTACCTACATGGCTTACATTATTTTTCTTTCAACCTGAAAAGGTTGTCAGCAAGTACACTCTGGTTTACTTTGAAAGAAGTTAGGTTGGCTTTTCTGGCATATGGGGGTGGGGCAAGGGGGCTTTAATTTCACAATAGGATCTTGTTTTGTGTTTGTCCAAGATCCATTTCTCAACCCTTTCTTCTGAGAAACAACTTTCACCCACCATCATTTTATTTTTTTATTTTTATTTTTTACAATTTTTAATGTGCTCTTTACTGTAATTAAAAATTTCCTGCATCTTAGATATACTTTCTTTTTTCTTTTTTTTACATATTTTATTAATTTTTTTTTGCCCCCCTCCCTCCCTCCCCAGAGTTTTGTGTCCATTGGTTGTACCTATATGCATGTATACAAGTCCTTCTCACCCACCATCATTTTAATAGCTTGGATGGGTATTGGCTCCTTCCTGCTCCAGAGGTGGACATGTGACCCAGATCTGACTAATCAGAGCATCCTGCCTTCCACAGCTATGGGATGGGCATGTGACCCAAGCTAGCCAATCGCAGACAACGAGTTTCAACACACCAGCTATTGTTGGAACTACTGTACTGAGAAGTCCTTCCTTCCCACTGGACAGGTTGTGGGCCTGGGGTTTCCAGAAACCATCTCACTCCGACCAGAGGAAAGCCTGCCTGAGAATGACGGCTACAGAGAGGAAAACAGAGCTGACAGGAGAGAATAAAGAGAGTCCTGGTGGCACTTTTGAATCCAGCCATTCCTAGAGCCAGTTCCATCTCTGTACTTCTGTTACTTGAGTGAATAGATACCCCCGTTTCCTTTAATGAATTTGAGTTGTATTTCAACTGAAAGTCTTGAATGATGCAGATTCCTGATACTAATGTTCAAGAATCTCTACAAAGATGCCAGGTGGGTTCTAGAAAGATTGAGGGGATCTCTTTGGGAATTATACCATCATCTAACTATTATACTGTACATCTGAAACTAATATAAAGTAATATTGAATGTGAACCATAACTTTAAAAAATAAAATAATAAGATAAACCTCTACAAAGATAAACCATTCATGCAATGTTACATAAGTTAAGAAAAGGTAAGGTTTAAATTAAACCTTCATAAATTCCAAAAGCACTAGAATTGTTTCCCTGATAAATATCATTGTTGTACCCAGACGACATATTATAATTTAACAGAGACACAAACTGCTAAAATAAAGAAATACTTCATTTTATTTGATTCTTTCAGCCATGAAGTGCAAGGAAATGCAAGTTCTTGGAAATGAGAAATAATACCGAAATGTGGAACAGACCAAGGTTAAAGGTTGTATGGGATCAACAGAAAGTGGCTGTCTGAAGTGAATTTTGGCCTTCTTGTTGGCCAGGCCAGGTATACCATTTTGTCTAGCCCCAGTAACAATTTCTGTGATAACTATCCAGAGTGAAGTTGTCAGAGACTAGAGAAGCTCAAACAATTAAAATGTTTACAGTACATGAAACATAAACAGTCAACAACTATGGATTCATCACTTAACTGGAGAACAGAGTAAATCTCAGTAGGCAGCACTACAACTATCCCTAGTCATTCCTTTACGTGTTCACTCATTCATTCTTGCAGTCAATGACTGACTAGTAAGCACCGACATTGTACCAGGAGGCGCCTGGATTAAATGCTGGAGTTATAAGGATCACGAGTAAGGCACAGACTCTGCCCTCAAGGAGCTCCCAATCTACTCTCACAGAGAGATGTGGGAAAAGTGGCAGACCATGCACAATGAAGTGCTGATAACAAGACTGTCCAAAGTGAGACCAACCATGAACTACAGTTCCCATGGTAAAGGCACGTGGCATTCCTCCTCCCTTCAGAAAAAAACAATTGCTGGATGCAGCTTTGATCAATCTTCCAGTTGCAGGGTGATCATGGGAACCCACAGCATGGAACAAACCATGTATCCCCTCGGTGCTCCGCAGCCGGACCTGATAACCATTCCTGGGTCTGTCGTAACTTGGCAGAGGTTTGGTAGTAAGTGCAAGTCTCCTTCCCATAATCCCGCCTCCTATGAATATCCCTCTTTGCTCAACCCAAATCCGGGGAGGTTTTCCCTTTAGCTGCTCACATTCATGTTACTCTGCTGTTGAAAGGTTTCTGATTTCTAACCAGCGCTCCTGAGTCATCCCACCTGGCCATGGCTGAGCATGGACCCATGAACCAGTTGGATTCCCTGTCAAGGCACATGCCAGGGTTGTAGGCTCAATCCCCCAATAGGGAGTGTGCAGGAGGCAGCCAGTCAATGATTCTCACTCATCTTTGATATTTCTATCCCTCTCTTTCTCTCCCTTCTTCTCTCTGAAATCAATTAAAAAAAACAAAACAAAAAAACACGTGTATATATAAATATTTTTTTTTAAAGTATGCCCAATGCAAACTGCCAATCAGCAACAAAGGAAAAGCCTCTGGCTCTTGGGAGCAAGGCAGAAGTTCAAAACTGAGGTTTGCTGTGGAGTGTTAATGTGAACAGTGGTATTAAGGCTTTTAGATAGAAGCATTTTACTTATTTAGATCATGTAAAAAATCAGTTAGTGTTATTTTATTAACTAAATCTTGATGATCACTAACAATTGAATTGTACAAACACCCTCATGTGAAATTACACAGTTTATTCTCAAAATATCCCAAGGTTACTTGTTAATAAACTCCTCATTTAGTGTATTTCCAGAAATCACTCACACACAAAGAAACAACAAAACAGAACCTGTACAAAAATAAGAGCTCTCCATTTTTCATAACACCTTATCTTTCGTGTAATGAACTTGTGAATATAAAAAAAAGTACCAGTTTAGAAAATTATAAAAACATTGCTACGTCATAAGTACTCTACACTCTTTAGGAAAACATTCCTTTAGAAATAGGACAACTATTAAGAATCCTTTGTGAAATTCAAGTCCTGAATGTGCCACAGATGCCTGCCTGCCGCAGGGCAGCATTCATACCCTATCTGTCCCCCATGCCACGTCTAGAAACTGCTTGCGACTTGCCACGAGTAAAATATCATTCCTCTTTCTTCAGATATCATTATTAAGTTCTGTGGATATCTTCAGGGTGACACTCTATTAAAAAAAAAAAAAAGCAGAGAAAGGTTTAAAAGAAGGTCAGCAAGTCCAGTACCAGCTATTCAAGTGCCCAAAGCTTTGCAGCCCCAAAGACATGACCTGTGACTGGTGCTAAGCTTGAGTTGAGTCCTCGAGAAGTTTCTTGGCTTTCTATACATTTTTAGCTAGTCCCAACTCATTTGATTCAAAATATAAGATTTTTATCTGTGGCCAAATCTACCAAGGTTCCACCTTCTCTCTGCCTTGGGGACATTTTGCAACAACATACTTTTATTTTTTCAAAAGACATATGGCCTTGGCTGGGTAGTTCAATCAGTTAGAGCGGTGTCTCAACACACCAAGGTTGTGGGTTTGATCCCTGGTTAAGTCAAATACTAGAATCAACTAATGAATGTATAAACAAGTGGAACAACAAATCAATGTCTCTCTCTCTTCTCTCTTTCTCTCTCTCTCTCTCTCTCTCTCTCTCTCTCTCTCTCTCTCTCTATCAAAAAATAAAAAATTTAAATAAATAAAAAGACATACGTATCTCCATTGGGGGGGGGATGAGTGGCTGTGGGCAAAGAGGGGGGAAATGTGAGACATCTGTAATAGTGTCAACAATAAAAAATAAAATAAATAAAACAACATAAAAAGACATATTATTTGGAACCAGTAAATGAGACCTCCTAAAAAAAAAAAAAAAATCAGGATGTATAAGTATAAACATCAACTGGCAGAGGACACTGGGAACTTCATTGTTTGGGAGAGCTGTTAAAGCCACATGCCTCTGGGAATAAACTAAGTTGCACAATACATATTTTTTCCCGAAAACATAATAGTAAAAAGAAAGGCAAATCATGCTCTCTTTTTTTTTTATGCAAAAAATTCTCTATGGATATTTCCCATCCTGTCAGCAATTTATAACATTGAAATTAATAAATACCTACCTGGAAATCATGGATGAACGTTAGGAAGTAAAAAATAAAACCGAAGGCCACTGTCCATTCACAGATCGCACTCACCACGTGATATGCATAATCCTAACAGCAATAGGAAGGAAACACAAGTTAGTCTAAAGGGATTCATTTCCGAGCAGAAGAGGCTGTCCGGGAGCATTAGTCAACCCCTGGAGCAAACACAGCAGCAAGGTTGTGCAGGTGAATGGCAGGGTGCTTGTCCAGTCAGAACGTGGGTGCAATTATTCCCTAAGTACTTTTTCCCTCCTCTATGCTCAGGCTTTAAGACTTGTCTATAGCCCGTCTGGCGTGGCTCAGTGGTTGAATATCGATCTATGAAATAGGAGGTCAAGATTCAATTCCCGGCCAGGGCACATGCCAGCGTTTCAAGCTCCATTCCCAGTGTAAGGCGTGCAAGAGGCAGCTGATCAATGATTCTCTCATCGTTGATGTTTCTATCTCTCTCTCCCTCTCCCTTTCTTTCTGAAATTAATCAAAATGTTTGTTTGTTTTTAAAGGCTTGTTTATAGAGTTTCAAAAAGCAAAAGAAGGACCAAAAATGGCTAAGACTGGGAAGCCAATGTGGACTCCACAGAAGGCAGAACTTTCCATGCAGAGCAGGACTTGCTCTCTAGAGGCTGGGAACCCCCAAGTTTTCCAAAGATGAAGTGTATGTATCGAGAGGAAATTGGCTAACTGTCACCACTGGGTTTTGTGGTCTCTGCTGCTACAGAAAATGTCAGTTCAGACAATAGCCCGGCTTACCATTATATGTAAGCATAGCAACAAAGCAAATGCTAACAGGACATCTGAACACAGTCACTACCTTCCTGGGGGCAGAAATGAAAGAATGGGCAGCAAGAATGAGAATGGCTTTCACGGGGGTCCAAGGTCAGCTGCCTAAGGGAGCCAGGAGATTAATAAAAATCAATGGAACTGAGAGTTGCAAAGAGAGAGGGAAGTGCAGAGGAAGTCCATGCTTACCAGCTCAATCGCATTTTCACCAAATGGGAAAATATGACACCAGGGTTGCTAGTAAAAAGTGAAAACAGAAGTGTGTGTGTGTGTGTGTGTGTGTGTGTGTGTGTGTGTGTGGTCTCCTGATTTTGAAATGCTGGAAACTTTTTAAAAAGCATTTTTAAACCCCGTCTAAGTAAAAACTAGCACCTGCATTTTGACATTACCCATTTGCCAAATCAGGCCTGTGGACTGCCAAGTCTGATTTCAAACTATGACGTGGCTTTTTGTTATTTTACCTCCCTCCCCCTGCTTTGCTTTCTGCTATAGATTACAAGTGTGAATAAACAAATGGTACTGGATTGCAAGTCAGGTTTATGAGGACAGTTGTTTTCTTTGATCCAGTTTCCATCCGCAAAGACTAACTGAGGAACATCAGACTCTCAGGCACCTCTTCTTACTCTACCCCTTCCAGGACATCACCATCCACCCACTCTCCTTATCCAGGTCACATTGGGGAGAACCTGACCACCTCACACTAGGGGGTAGAGAACAGAAGTTGCCCCCTCTTGGTGACAGAACCAGGGGATCTGCCTCATGCCCTTATCATCCCGGGACAATAAAGATGGCTTATACAATGTTGGCAGAAAGTTCTTTAGCATGATGTTAATGAAAGTAAGCTGACCCAGAAGTCCAGACTCCATTACCCATGTGTGAGTACAGGCAAAGCTCTAATTTCCTTGCTCCATAAAATGAGACCATGCCATTCTAATTCCCACTCTCCCTACCAAGTTAGTCAATGCACAAGCCCATTATGAAAGCCCTAAAGCAGTGCACATTCATTCGAGGCAGCACCTAAATGCTCATTCCATTCAGTGAATTAATGCAAAGGGCTTTCTTTTCATTTATTGATATTGGGAACAGAATGCAATCTAAGAGCGGCATGGTAATTTATGGAGTGAATATAAAACCAGGTACTTTTAACATTTTTAAGATGAAATGAGAATTGAAAAGCAAAAAGGCTTTTTAACCAGCCTGGGGATATGTTTTGATGAACCCTTCCAAGCAACTGATTTTTGTTTGATTTGTGGGGGAAGGTCTCCCCCGAGTGGTTGAAAAGTAAAGTACACCTGAGGTTGCTCTGCTGTGAGGTCTCACTCTCAGGAAGCAATAAGCAACCATTTGACAGGTAACTATCATGCCCATTCACCACCAGTGGCCAGACACTCAACACACAAGCATGGAATCATGGAACAGACTGATGAATCTCTGAGCAGGGAGGAGAGGGGGAAGAAATTACCCAAAGATCTTATATGCATACTAGAGGCCTGATGCATGGATTCATGCACTGGTAGGGTCCCTCAGCCTGACCTGCAAGAATAGGGCTGAAACCGGCAGTCTGACATCCCCTGAGGGGTGCATGATTGCGAGAGGGCACAGGCCAGGCCAAGGAACCCCACTATGCACTGGGCCTCTACTGTTCTATAAAACTTTTCTGAATCATTCTCTTCCTCAGCATCTTCAGCCTCTCCCTATCTCCTGCAGGCTCCCATTGTATGCCAGGATCCTCCTCTGACCACGCTCTCCCCTATAGCCTTCATCATCTCATTACTCCTCTCCCTCTCACCTCCAAATGTTCACAGACAGCTGGATAAAGGAAAGACTCCTCTCACCATTTTTTTAACCTCCTGCAATTGGCTTTTAACTCCACCATTCCTAACTGAAATTGCATTTTGGATAACATCAGTAACTCCACCTCTCCCTTGAAAAAAATGTTCCTAAAAGAAACCAATAAAACAAACACCCATTCCTGCTATTCTTTCACCAACTCTTTTCTCCAGGGTGTCATTCATTCTCCACATGGCATCGAGATGAACCACCGCTGTAAGTATCGAATGGCACAAGACCATCTCAAATCTGAACATTCAGTCCTGGGTGTTGTGATCTTTGGTCTGGAAATGACCACTCACTCCACCCTAAGCTCTGATGGCTCTCAATCCCACCAGAGGTCCAGTCCCATGTGTCCAACTGGAAATTTCTCCTTGATGTTTTATTATAGCCCCAGATTCAACAATTCTGAAACCAAGTCTATCCACGTCCCCCGGGAAATAATCTATCCTCTCAGGGATCTTATTTCTCTCTGTTCATGGGAACAAATTCTTTGGTTCGCCCAAGAAGTCCTATTTGATTCATCATGTTCTTTGATTCTCATGTTAGTCATGTGCCAGTGTTCATCAAATATTTTCTCCCTATTACTCCCAATCAATCTAGACTGATCTTGATTTGAAATCTGAACTGCCTTTTCTGTCACCCTAACTCTGTGCTCCTTCTCTTCAATCCATCCCAGGCATTTCTTCTAACTAATATTCATCCAATAATATTCTTTCCATTTACTTCCCTCAGAGGCAAGCGGGGGTTGGGGGGGGGGGTAGGGAAGAGATTACCCAAAGATCTTTTGCATTACCTATGCACACAGATAGTAGGGTGATGAAGGCCTGAAGGAGGGTGGGAACCAGGTGGAGGGGAACAGTGGGAGAAAATGGGGATCTGTAATACTCTCAACAATAAATTTTTTTTTAATTTCGAAAATAATCCCAGGAATCATTTGGGATTACTCCAATAGCTTATTATGACCCATGAATTGCCAAATGGTTGGACAGTAAGTTACTTACTTCATATTTTGCAACTTGTTCTAAGAAATGGCAGTGATACTTTCTTTCTAAGAAGGCTTCACACGGCCACAGTCTCATACCACCAGTCTTGACACTCATATTGGAAATGACTTGAATTTTACCTTTTCTTGTGGATTCCACTCCAGCTTGGTTATGGAAATCAGTGAAGCACAGGTAATCACTAAAAGAAGGAGAGTGTTAAGGAAAGTACTGCAGAAAATAGGTCCTTTATTGTTAAGACTAGATTATTATTCTAATAGTATCATTACAAAGTATTAAACATGTTTCACCTCACACCCATTAGGTTGTGAAAACAACAAGTGTTGATGCAGATGTGGAGAAGTTGAAACCCTTGTGCACTGTTGGTGGGAATGTAAAATGGGGCAGTCACTGTGGGAAACAGTACAGAGATTCTCTCTCATCATTGATGTTTCTATCTCTCTCTCTCCCTCTCCCCTCCTCTCTGAAATTAATTAAAATGTATTTTAAAAATCGAAGAGATATGTCCTACACCTGACTATGGGACCAGCCTAATAATCCCAGGCACTGAGTCCATTGCCCTCGATGGACAGCAAGGACTGCACAAAAGTAGTGACATCCATTTGATTGAACTTTGAAGGGGAAAGAGAGAGAATTGAGATGCTCTTAAAAAGTTAAAAATTCAAAGTGTTGCCTCAATGCCAAGTTTAGAGCCTCCTCTAAATTCGGGGTCAGCACCTCCTCTGCCTACCCCCACCCCCATAGTTTGCAAGGCTGAACCCTTCTCCGTTCTTTTAAATAAAGCATAGCAGGTTCTCTAACCCTTTTATGACCGCACTTCTGTTTCTAATAGTTTTAAAGCCTCTTAATTCTTTCATTTATTTGTTTTTTTAGTTCCCTGTTCTGGGCATCAGACGCCATGTTGCAGGGAGAAAAGGAAGAGGTGGGGAAACCCTGGCTAAACGGACTTGGTCTGAACTCCCAGAAACCTCACAGTCTTGTCGAAGGAAGCCCAGGGCTGTGCCATGTGAGAGACAAGATCGGGGCACTGTGATGAGGCAGAGGGAAAAGTATTAATTCAGGGTGGAAGGGGGTTTGAGGTGTCAGGGAGGCCTTCCCTAAGTTGAAATTACTCTAAGTTATGAAGTTTGAGGAGCCCTCTTAGAGCAGAGCTGCCCCACAGAAACACAACGCCAGCCACATGTGTAACATTGAATGTTCTACTGTAGTCACTGTGTAGAAGGCAGTTAGACAGGCATGAGCAGACTAGGAGCCATAGGCCAGGTATGGAATGTCACCAGGGCGGAAAGCCCGGGGTACCTAGCAACCAGAAAAACTAGGAAAACAGAGACCTTACCCCAGGGTGACTTTTCCTTCCCTATTGAGCCTTTCATGTCTCACTAGTCATGAGGCAGACCACCTCCCCGCCCCCTGCACCACCACCACCACCACCACCACCACCACCACCACCACACACACACACACACACACACACACACACACACACACTTAGAGGAGGAACAAGGTGGGGGGAGAATAGTCTCATAAGACTCCTTCCTTGCATGACCACTCCCTTAAGCATTAAGTCCTCAAGACAATGAGGTTCTGACACGTTTCAAATGATTTTAGAAGCACAGCCTCAGTGTGTTGACAACAGAGACATAGTTTTGGTCAAACTGGAGATAACATCTAGGACTCAGCTCCAGGCCTAGAAAAGCAGGAAGGCCAGGAGGGGCAATGCATGGCTGACATTAGGACCAGCTTTGATGGCTACTGACTCCCTGCTCTGGCACCTATCAACCATCACCCTGTAATGACACACCTGGGAAAGCTGATGGATATTCTATTGAGATCCTCCCTAGGACCTCCCCTAAGATCCCCACCTTTAAAGAGGAGATAAAAACCCTTGGATGGAGGACCCAACTCTCTCTCCCTCCATTGTACCCATCCTCCCTCCCTCTCTATCTCTTTCTTGAGCATATCAGGCCTTTCCCCACCCTGATCTCTGGGAAACACCCCCAAGCCCTTCCCCCTCTCCTTCCCCCACGTGCATTCTCTGCCTTTGTTTTTCCTATGCTCCAAGGGCCCTTCTTTTGCCTCTGTAACTTGTTTCTGAGCCCACGAAGCCCAGCTGGCTCACTTCTTCCACTTCTACCTCTGTGACTTTCTAAATAAACTTCTGCTTGTATTTAAGTCTTGGCTCTGAAATCTTTATTAGCCAGAACTCAAGTAATGAGGTTGCTGAACCGAGGTCCATTTGCCAGTAACATTCTGGCGTTGTTTCTCAGCTAGCAGCAACATTGTAAGATTAAAAAAACAAATGAAATTTAATTTTAATGACATAGCTCCTTGAACACAATAGATAAAAAATATTACCAGTTCAACATGTAATGATACAAATAATTATTAATGAGATATTTTACTCTTTTTTTTTTTAAGTCTTTGAAATCTGGGGTGTGGTTTACACCATAAGCCGTCTCAACACAGACTAGCCACATTTCAAGTGCACAATAGCTACACGTGGCCTGTGACTACTGTATTGGCCAGGAAAACAAGGTGGAAGGGGTGGTATTCAGCCAGGAGAAGGGCAAGGGGCAAAAGCAGGGAACAGGAAACAGCGAAATCTTGGGGAGTCTCAGAGTACATGTCTCAAGCAAGGGAACTTGTGCTATTATTTTGTGAAGGTAACACTGTAGAAGCCGGCACAAGACAGAGTTCACCAGGAAAGGCCTAGAAGCCTAACTCTAATGTGCCTCAGTTTCTTCAGTAGTTAAATGAGGCTGTTTCAAAGAAATACTACAGTAAAGAGACACAAAGGCATTTTAAAGATGCTTTGAAATTTTGGTGAAAGAATATAAATACCATGTCTAATGCCAAAGACTTTTCTATATGAAGAATTTGTTCAAGGTAATGTGTGATAGAGACATATTCTGCTTCTGTGTGGGGCTGCAACCCCTTGGCATGGCTAAGAACTTCTAGAAACAGGAACTCCTAGTATTCGAAACTCTGAGGCCTGAAATGATTATTGTGCTAGAACTCTCTCTCTGATTTTAATATTTAGAGATCTGTCTCCAGAGATAAAAGCAAGGGAAGGAGGTTCAGGCTAAAAGTCTGAAGGGAATATATTTGAAGAGAAAGTATAAATGGCTCCAATCCATAAACAGGACAAGAAAACTAAGAAGGAACCATCTTAGGAACAGGGTATATATTTTGTCGTTAAATTTCTCAATACTACTGGTAAGATTTGTTTCCTCTGTGCTTACAAATTTTGTAATTAAAATTGTCCTTCCCTAAAATGAAAGGGCTGATATGCTCAAGAAAGAGATAGAGAGGGAGGGAGGATGGGTACGATGGAGGGAGAGAGAGTTGGGTCCTCCATCCAAGGGTTTTTATCTCCTCTTTAAAGGCAGGGATCTTTGGGGAGGTCCTAGGGAGGATCTCAATAGAATATTCATCAACTTTCCCAGGTGTGTCATTTCAGGGTGATGGCTTTCCCAAGACCATGCACAGGCTTTGCATTTTATATAGCTTCTAATCTCAAAACAGCAATGCAGAGCTTAATAGCAGAAGCACATGGTATGCTGTCACTCAAGCTTGCCCACTTTATACCACAGGTCAACCCAAACGAACAACATGGCTAACAGAATAGTTCCCATTTTCCTGTAACATAATCATACTTTTTCATGACTTTGCACCTTTCTCTGATAGGAGTGCAGATGGTATTTCAAAAGATGGGAAATATTCCACCCCTTGGAGACCTCAGCTTTTTTATGTTCTTTGTTTATTGCCGAGAGAGAGAGAGAGAGAGAGAGAGAGAGAGAGAGACAGAGAGAGAGAGAGAGAGAGAGAGAGAGAGAGATTCATTTCCTCTAAATCAGAACATACAAATGTGATAGATACATTTTTTTTCTTTCCATGTTGAATTACAAAACAAGATAAATTTTTGAAAATAAAATCAGTAGCAAAAAGAAAAGGCTACCTGTACTTTAATAGACTTGGAAATAGATAATATAGAGCTTTTAAAAACCTCTTCATGTGGGCAAGTAAATGAAAACATCAAATCACCTACAGCCATTGAGAAGGAAAAGTCTGAGCTCCAAGGACTTCACAGAGCTACTCCTTTAAGTACAATGTCAATATTTGATGTCTTTGGCCAAGCACTCCAAAGAAAACCAAATATTTTACACGGCTGTTAAAACTGACCCCCGGGGGAAGAAAAGCAAACAGAAACTGATGTTTTCCCCACATCTTCCCAGCCTCCTTTCATACCAGTCTTCTCCCCCAACATTGTTTTTATCTAAGCTGACCAAGTTGAGACATATTCTCAACCATTTACATGTTTCTCCCAATGGTTCTGCTGAAGTATATGAAAACTTGGCGGTTAACCTTTGCTTTTTTATATACTTTTTTACTAGGGGGAGGGGGGGGGGCAGGTAGGGGAAGGTCTCAAGCTTGTAAGGACATTGACAGATGTGCAAAGGATACTAGGGATGACGGCTGCACAGGAAATGAAAGAGATGGCCATCCGCACGCGGCAGGTGGAGAGGGTGTTCCACTGGGGACATGACTTGTAGGAGATGATGGACTGCAGGAGTGTGTACACCACCCCGCAGACAAAGGCCAGAAGGGCACCGCCATCATGGACCACAGGGACCGCTAACTCCTAGGGAGAAAGACACACGTATGTTATTCCAAGGGGGTCTGTCCACACCGTGATCTGAGCACTCCCTCTCTTTGGCTATTGGAAGCCATCCAGTGTCACAGATGGCCCCAAAAGGAAAAGATGGTCCTCACTGGTTTGGCTCAGTGGATAGAGCATCTGCTTGTGGACTGAAGGGTCCCGGGTTTGATTCCTGGTCAGGGCACATGCCTGGGTTGCAGGCTCGATCCCTAGTGTGGGGCCTGCAAAAGGCAGTCAATCAACGATTCTCTCTCATCGTTGATGTTTCTCTCTCTCCCCCTCTCTTTTCCTCTCTGAAATCAATAAAGATATATTTTTTTTTAATGAGAAAGAAAGAAAATGTGGCTGCTTGAACAAGATTACCAAGAGAAAAGCCTTCCCTCACAATGAAATAAATGTTCCACACAAACTTGGGCATGTGGGATGAAAACAGAGTGAGGTCTACCTTAGAGGAACAAAGTGAGGTATGGTGGGCTGTGGGGTCTGGCTGACCTGAGTAAAAAGATCTTGATTCCAGCACTGAGACCTTAGTTTAAAACCTCAATTTCTGATCTGTAAAATGGGTGTGTTAATTTCTGCTTTGCAGGTCTGCAATGCAGCTTATTTGATAAACTGCATACAAAAGTGTGCAAAAGTGCCAAGGGTGCTTGGGGTTTTTAGGCTCCCTGCTCCCCACTAATCTCTATTTGTCCTTCCCAAGCTACCCCAAATCTAAAAAAACTGCTCTTTGCAATGCTAAGACAACTTCAAATCAAGTCCCTGGCCCCCAGTCATTTCAACATGAAGGCAGCCCTTCTATCCAGCCTAGGCAAAAAGCCTGGTGTTACCCCAAATGTGGTCATCCGGAGCCATCAAAGAGCTCTCTTTAAGCTCCTTTCAAATGTTCAATGGGCACTTCCCTTCCCTCCCTCATAACAATGACATTTAGATTGAATGACTAAGTCCCTACTTGAACTTACAATTTTGAGTTTTGCAAACGGGCAAGTTAAAGTACTGTCCACAGCCAAAACAGGTTTGGCTCAGTGTATAGAGTGTCAGCCTGTGGACTGAAAGGTCCCAGGTATGATTCCAGTCAAGGGCATGCAGCTTGGTTGCGGGCACATCCCCAGTGGGGGGTGTACAGGAGGCAGCTGCTCGATGTTTCTAACTCTCTCTTCTCCCCCTCTCCCTTCCTCTCTGTAAAAAGTCAATAAAATATATATTTTTTAAATTAAGTACTGTCCACAAAAACCTGATTTTGGCCACAACTCATTGTCTACACCTGTTTTCCAGACTTTTCTTTGACCACCCAGGTTTCCATAGCCCTACTGTGTTCTTCATTCAGACTGTTCACAGAAAACATACTCCTATGAACCAGGAGGTCATGGTTCAATTCCCAGTCAGGGCACATGCCCTGGTTGTGGGCTCAATCCCTCATGGGAGGCCTGTAGGGGCAGCCAATCAGTGATTCTTTCTCACTGAATCTCTGAATGAATCTCACTGAATCATTGAATATCTCCCTCCCTTCCTCTCATAAATCAATACAAATATTTAAATTTACAAAATAAAAAGGTAAAAACTTTTCAGTTATATGTAATATTCAGCGTGGTGACTATATTGAATAAAGGTGTATTTCCAAAAATTGTTAATGGAGTAATTTTTTTTTTTTTTTCGGAGAGAGTAAATCTTAAAAGTGCTTCTCACATGGGAAAAAATTAACTATGGGATGTGATAAATGTTAACTAAACTTACTGTTTAATCACTTCACAATATATTGTATGCACATATCAAATCATTATGTTATATACCTTGCACTAATACAATGTAATATGTCAATGATATCTCAACATTTGGGAGAAAACAATATTAAACCAAAAAACAAACAAACAAAAAACAATTAAGTAAAACAAGTTCTTTTACCCCTTGAATGTTAGGCATATTTGGCCAAAGGAAAATAAACAAAAAGCAAGGCATCTAGTGCTGAGTCGTTTCCAGGAATAATCTTCTGAGAATCCTGGTTCTTTCCACTCCACTTTTTTTTTTTTTTTTCCACGCTAAGTCAACATTCTGAATTTACGTACTTTTTCCCTCCCACCAGCACTGTCAGGGGATTTGCTTCCTCAGCCTAGACCCAAGTCAACACTCCTTTAGGATCTTAATCTGCAGTCTGCACAGGCCCCATGTTAACCCTGACAGTTCCAGATCATGGAGCTGTATTTGGCCTGTGGAGCACAAACTCTCTTATCAAAAATGCCTTTTGAAGGGAAATGATTCTTAGATCTGACATGAATCTTGGACTGAGGATAAGATGAAAACCTGGAAGCCTTTTGGGATCTCTTTTGCAAAACTCTCTGGTTAACTGAAAAAGTGAGTAAAAAGAGAGAAAAGTAGGATATTGAGGGTGTTCAACCTTAGAAAACATGACTTTTCAAAAAGGATACTTCTCGAGGAAAAGTACAGCAGAGGCAGAAACTGACTCTAACCATACCTAAACGTAGCCATCCCACCCACCAGTCTGGGAAAAGGAGCTGTGAACTTCCGATGAACACAATTTACTTCCTACTCAGGGAAATCCCACCAAAACCAAGGCTCTCTCCTGCCCTCACATCTCTCCTTCTCCTAAAGGTAACAGCTCAAGTTGGTTTGCTCATGGCCTGCCGAAAATGAATTGCAGGATGTCAAACAAGGAAGTTGTCAAGATGGGAACAATGACAAGGCAAACACTTTGCTCTCAGGAAAGTTACCGATTCTATTTCTGGGTTTTGTGAAAATGCACTCTCGCCATGGAAGCCTTTAAGAGAACCAAGAATCCAATGATCTAGCCATCTATGTTTTCTTCCGAAAGTCTGCCCTTAGTGGCTTAAAAATGGACAGGTGTATCACTAACGATGTTGAATGATTTGGAGGATAAATTAATTAGGATATCAGACAGTGCCTACTATTCCCTGCTGAATAATTTCTATCCATGCCTATGAGACAAAGGATATCATTCCAGGTGTCCACCTGCCCTTTTCTTTCTTTTTCATCATGCTTTCTGATGCTGCAACTCTGTGAATCGTGACATGCTTTTTCCTCCCAGAAATTTCCTTGTGGTAGCATTGAGGTTACCTCTTACAGGTTCAGGACAGACTGCTTCGATGCAAGGGCCACTCTGCCTTTCCTACTCCTATGATCTTGGGTAAGTATTCACCTCTCTGGGCCTCCACTTCTCCATTGAGAATGAGGAAAATTATACTATCTATCTTCGAAGGTTGTCATTAGAGTTGTATGAGTTGGAGCACTGTGAATGCTGTTATATCACGTAGAAAATTTCCAGCATGTGTTATGAGAAACAAAATGAATACAGTCATAAAACATAAGGAAATGTCACAGAGTCTCTACCATGTAGGAAATGTCATGGGCAACCATGCTTTGCAGCACAGAGTGTCTGATTTCACCACAGAGGGACAATAGGATAGGAAAGTGAGCTCCCTCTCTTCCCCCTCACCTCTCTCTCTATCTCTTTACACCAGCTATTTTCAACTGGCGTGCCATGACAGAATTTTTAAAACATGGAATGCCTGACTATTTAGTCAGGGACACTGACTTCTTTTCCCTTAAATTGTTAAAAAAAAAAAAAAAAAGAAAAGAAAAAGTTAACCAACACAATGATAGCCATCCAATGTGAATGAATCTAAAGTATTTTTTAAATCAGATTGGCAAAAAGAATTTTAGTAATTACCGTATTTTTCGGACCATAAGACGCACTTTTTTTCCCCCAGAAGTGGGGGGGAAAAGTCCCTGCGTCTTATGGTCCAAATATAGCCTACACATATACTTTAAAAAAAAAGTTTTTTTACTTGCCCGGCTCTGTGTGGTCTCTGTGTGCTTGCCCGGCTCTAAAATGGTTCTAAATGCTGCTGTTTACTTTACAGGGTTGATTACATGTGTTTATGACTGTGATGTTGAGTTTTAATGCACATAAAATATTTTAGGACACTGTTTGTTTCAGAATCTTTTTTTCTTCATTTCCCTTCTCTAAAAACTGGTGCGTCTTATGGTCCGGAGCGTCTTATGGTCCGAAAAATACGGTAGTTTGTGTGCCCTGAGATTAAAAAGGTTGAAAATCACTGCTCCACACCATAGAGACCTAGTCTTTCCTCTAATAATCAAGGAACCCTCCTACACTGCTGGTGGCAATGCAGACTGGCACAGCCACTATGGAAAACAGTGTGGAGTTTCCTCAAAAAATTAAAAATGAAACTGCCATTTAACCCAATGATAACACTTCTAGGAATATATCCTGAGAAGCCTGAAGCATCAATATCAGAAAAAAATATATGCACGCCCATGTTCATAGCAGCATTACCTACAATAGCTAAGATCTGGAAACAGCCCAAGTGCCCATCAGTAGATGAGTGGATAAAAAAGCTGTAGCACATTTACTCAGTGGGATACTATGCAGCTGTAAAAGAGAAGAATCTCTTAACTGTTGAGATAGCATGGAGAGACGTGGACAGTTTTATGCTGAATGAAATAAGCCAGTCAGAGAAAAACAAGTATCACATGATCTCACTCATCTGTGGAATCTAATGAACAAAATAATATGACATGGAAGCATGCAATAGCATGAGGATTCTCAGAAGGAAGAGATCAGCCAAAGAACTTATATGCATATATGCATAACCCAGTTGGTCAGGCAACTCATTAGTCAACGGAGCCAAGTATCAACAGCACAACAATTGAAATTTATTTTGAGAGTCAACTTTTTTAAACTTAAACTTCTTCTAATGCCACTTCTTCAAAATAAGACTCTCCCAGGCCGTGGTATTTTGTGGAAGAGCCACACTCAATGGGCCAAAGAGCCACATGTGGCTTGCGAGTCGCAGTTTGCCGACCACTTGCATAACCCAAGGACATGGACAATAGTTGAGAGAAAGCCTGGGGAGGGGAAGGAAGTGGAGAGGAGGAGGTCAATGGGAGAAAAAAGAGACATCTGTAATACTTTCAACAATAAAGATGCATTTAAAAATAACACATTAGAAATAGTCATCATAGTAAAGTAAATTAAGTTAAACAAAGGAGTACCCCTGGGCTGAACAAAAGTTGTCCTGGAGTAACTGCCTTTCGGCTGTCACAGGAGACAACAGTGATGGAGAGAGCAGGACCACCCTAGTGTTAGCCTGTAATGGTTAACCCATGATGACCCCCAAGTGCAGACCACGGTTACCATACATTATCTCACCCAATCCTTGCAATAATTCTAGGGGCTGGCTACTATTATAATTAGTATCAATTTAAACACAACAAATGTTTTTAAAATATTAAACATTGCCTTCGTAGCTAAGTAGATCTCATGTTTTCTTGAAAGAGATCTCAGAATGAACAGGAATCCACAATTTAGAAAACAGGTAGGGTGTTTTCCGAACACCTGACACCATAAGATTGTATCAAGCAGACTCCTCAGTAGCCATCATGTAAGTTAATTGGCTCTAGCTGGGCTACATTTTGGCTCGGCAACTCATTAGCTAAGGAACCCTGAGCAAATTATTTCACTTCCAGGCACCTAGGTCCTGTTCTGGGAAAGGAAGAAATCGGGTGCCGTTGTTTGACTTTAACACCAGAGGTTTAAACCATAAAATCAGTACACACATAGAGACACACACATACCCATACACAAATGTTTTCACACACAGTGAAGTCATCTCAGTGGCTGACGTCATTCTCCCAACACATCAACCACATCATGGAGAACATGGAGCAATGCAAAGCCTTCAGCTTTGCTCAAAGTGCTCTCTCTCTCTCTTTCTGTCTCTCTCTCTCTTACTCATGCACACATGCCCCCAAATCACTCCCAAACACCAGATAGGACTGTGTTTTAAATGGTATTTGTTTTTCAAAAGCAAATGAATCCATTTTAATAAACACATCAACTACCACGTTTCCCCGAAAATAAGACATCCCCTGAAAATAAGACCTAGCACAACTTTGGGAGAAAAAAAAATAATATAAGACACTGTCTTATTTTCGGAGAAACAGGGTAGTTGATAACTATACTGGCACAAGCTTGACTCTTGTATTCTTGTTTCTCTCTTCCAGACACACAAACTCCATCACCCCCATAACCAAAAAAACTTCAGGCCATACCTGAAAATTGGCAACAATGCCCATTCCGATACATCCCGCCAGTCCCAGAACTAAGGACACCAAGTTAAAAACAGGAGTGCTGAAGTAGCTAGTCTGATTCTGCTTTTCTACTATTTTGTATCTTGTGTACATTGTGGCTGCACCTAAGGAAGAAAGACACAGTAGTGAATTTTTTTTATTTGACAGTTTTTGAAGGAAAAACACAGAAACATTTTGTTTTTCTTTTTTTTAGTTTGTATTTTCACTTTCTTAATTGCAATACTCTCCTGATATGCCCACCCCTCTCCTTCCTCATCCCATTTTGCTCTCCTCACAATGTGGTGGGAAGACACATGCACACACACACACACACACACACACACCCTCTTGGTTGTTATTCTTTTTTACATAAACGCTATTGTGCACATATTGTTCTGTGACTTGCCTTTTTTCACTTAAAAATGTGCCATGGAGATCTTGCCATGTCAGTGCAAATAGGTCTATCTCATCATGCTTAGGAGTCCCATCTTGGTATATAGTGAGATGCCACATTTATTCCATTCTCCTCCCAATGACAGATTTCTACATCGTTTCTGTGAATCTCCTATTCCAAGCAATGTTCAATGAACATCCTTGTCTTTGGCACACTTTCAGTGCTTCTGAAAGACAAATTCCTGGAAGTGGTATTACTGGGTCAAAAAACTGTGCCTAACATGCCAAGTTGAAACTTTCTCTCTGCCAAGGATGAACACATTCCAAAGGTGCCAACTCACTAAGTTGAGTTTCCAGCATCACTGTCCCCTCCCACCTGTGCAGGTAGAGAGGGACAGGAGTATCCCTGGCAAACACCTGCTTGTTTCATAGAATGGAGGCTTCTAAAAGGACTAAGAGAGAGAGCTCTCTGTGTTGCATCTGCAGACCAAGATCACTCCCAAGTAGTAAGCTTTTCCATTATTACATTAATTACTCATGAGGGGGTTGTAGCCTTTCAACTGTTCCCCAGGGACACTTGTGGGACTGAAGAGGAAAATCATGCCTGTTCCCCCTTCCCCATCTCTCTAACAGGTGAGACAACACCTTCGTCAGTGGCTCCCAAGCTTCAGGGAGTATCCAAATCCCCTAAACTGCTGGTTCTCCCAGAGGTGCTGATTGAGTCCATCTGTGGTGTGGCCCTGGAACCTGCATTGGAACTAGCACCCCAGCTGCTTTTCATGGGAGCTGCCTTCAGAACATGCTCTGAGAAACATCAGTTTATCTATTCGGTGTCTTTGGCTTACACAAATGTATTGTATATAAATCACAATTTAAAAATCAAATTAAATTTAAAATTCATTTCATAATCTCATGGTGAACTGCCAGGAAAGTTGAAGAACAGTTGTATGAGGTCACAAGTAACTTTGGAGTTCAAGTCATATTGGATTTTCAAAGCAGAGTAAAACTCCAGTTGCTTGGACCAACAGAGAGGGACAGGCAAAACAGTTGAACTTTTGTTTATTTTTAATGATTTTCTTTTAAAAAACATATCTTTATTGATTTCAGAGAGGAAGCAAGAGAGAGAGAGAGAGAGAAACATCAATGATGAGAAAGAATCATTGATCTGCTGCCTCTTGCACGCCCCACACCAGAGACAAAGCCTGCCTTCTGGGCATGTGCGTCCCAACCAAGAATCAAACCGTGACTCCGGTTTCATAGGTTGATGCTCAACCACCAAGCCACCTTGGCCAGGCAAAAAGGTTGTACAGTACTTTTAAAAAATGATACATACGAAGAATGAACCTGATATAAACTATGGACTTGGTGTCAATGTAGGTTCATCAAAAAAAAATTGGTAATGGGGAAGACTGGGAGCAGGCACTATATGGGATATCTCCACCTTTGGATTAATTTTGCTGTGAGCCTAAAACTGTTCGGAAAATAAAAAGTCTATTTTAAAATTACAATAAAAAATTATATACACACACATTGTAAATAACATATTCTCCTGCACATGAGATTGTGAATTTTTCATTTATTTATAATAATTTTTGTGTACTTACCAAGAAACGCAGAGAAGTTTATCATGAATCCAAAAATACCACTCTCTGGAGGTGTTGTTCCTGTATCACTGAGAAAGAGAAGAAATATTGAAATCATTAAAAAGGGATTCAGTTCAGACCTCTGGATAGGCATGATCAGGCAGGTTTCATGATGTGTTTCTTTTGGGTCTTTAGTCACTTTGAATTGTAAAGATTGGTCCTGATTTTGTTCTGAAGTGTTTTAATTTTGGCTCTGAAAAAAAAAAAATCTAAACTGCTTTTTTTTTTTCTACGATTTTTTATTTATTATTATTGTAAAAGGTAGGAAATACTTAAAGTGAATGGTGGTAGCATTTCAGAAATAATCCAGCTATGATAAATAGACTTGATGGGTGTGTGTCCATTCTTAGTGAAGAACTGAATGTAACTATAATATTTTGGAGGGGAGGGTATGATGGTCTAAAATCACAGGTAAAATATCTACCATTGGGATATTAAATACATATAAACATGTTACATTTTTTTAACAATTTGATTTATGCACAAGTTTCCAGTGCTGAAAATATAAGGATAAAAAGCTGAGCAATATTATTGATACCTATCGCTACTTTATGGAAACAATAGTGTACTGAGAGTGTATAGTAATTGTGATAAATTATTTTAATAAGAACATTATAAAACACTTTTCAGGTGCAGTCTACCAAGTGAGTCATTAAATGAGCTGAAAAGTAGTGTTTGGCAGTTGTTTTCTTTTTTCCGGGTGATTTTGAGAGGACATTTATTGAAGCTAGGGACAGTGAAATGAGAAAGGGCTTAGGATAAAAGAAGCAACAGGAGAGAGCCTAGGCGGGGCTGCTTTGGCTCTCTAGAAACCAATGGGAAAGCAGTGAGCCGAGGTGGGACTGCTGTCAGCTCGCTGGAGAGTCAGGGAAAAGGGGTCCTTGGAGGCAGGCTCAGGGGCTTAGATAGGGACAAGCTGCTGCTGCCCATTGCTCTTCTGGTTGCAAGTCCTTTGGGAATCGTTAGAGTTTAGGAGATGTACACCTGACAGGGAAGACAAACATGGGCAACAGGTTTCCTTTTTCTTATTTGTTTTTAAATATTTCAGAGAGAAGAACATCAATGATGAGAGAGAATCATTGACCCGCTGCCCCCTGCACAGCTCCTGACCAGGAATCAAACTGTGACCTCCTGGTTCAAGGTCAACATTCAATCACTGAGCCACACCAGGTGGGTGAAAAGTTCTGTTTTCTACTGCTCAATGCCAAGGTTTGAATTTTTACATTGTCAAGCTGCCCGTGTAGAGCAACAGTTGAAAACTGATGGGAAAAGAACTCCCAACATGAAACAACTCGTACCCGTCTCGAGTGTCCCCATGTTTTAAAACAACTCTGAAATTAAGGATTGAAAGACCACATAGAAAAGACACACTTTAAAGTGTTTGAAGAACACCGCAAGCAGCCTGTGTGTGCGGAAAGCAGAAGCCTTTGTAAACACTCAATATTTGAAGAGTAGAGCTTGCCCTGCAGCTGGCACTCTGGTGTCTCAGCCTTGCCCAAGGCCCAGCCTCACCAGGTCCCAGTCCCTCTGGAATCCCAGCTCTGCCACCTTCCCATGGTCCCACAGACATAGAGGCCTGGCTGCTACCGCTGGGCCTGAGGCTATGGCTCTCCTGGGCATCCTCCCATTGAAAAGGAAGAGCCAGCCTTCTGGAACCACCATGCAACTCAGACCCTGGACATCATCGAGAAGCTGCATCCACCAGATGGCTGCCAAAAACCTCATTATCTTCTTAATGGGGGTGTCCACAGTGACAGTAGCTTGGATCTTAAAGGAACAGATGAACGTCAAGCTCGGACCTTGGATGACCCCTGGTCATGGATCAGTTCCCACACATGATTCTGTCTAAGACATGCAACAAGTTCAAACACGTGCCAGATAGTGCAGACACTGCCACAGCCTACCTGTGTGGGGTCAAGACCAACTACAAGACCATTGGTGTGAGTGGGGCAGCCCCATAACCAGTACAACCAACACATGGTGTTGAGGTCACCTCGGTGATGAACTGGGCCAAGAAAGCTAGGAAGTCAATGTGGGTGGGAGTTGGGTTGGGAGGCTTGACTTCTCTGTGAGAATGAATTTTCTAGCAAATGTTATGCCCAAAGATAGAGCTGTCACTGCCTTTTTCTCATTACCGGTTCCTGTCCCCTCCTCGCATCCACCAAGCACCCTGTCAGGCTCAGAAGGGCATCTACCTTGGGCCACCAACAGTGAAGATGTGGGAGAGGTCACTGATAACAAGGATCAGCGTGTCCTCACTTGTGAGCTGGCTGGCACTGCCCATGGCATCATTGAAATGGATGGTCTCATGACTGGCCAGAGTGGCTGTCAACCTATGAACCAGAAAGTTACGGTTGATTCCCAGCTTGCACATGCCTGGGTTGCAGGCTTGATGCCCAGTGAGGGGCTTGCAAGAGGCAGCTGATCAATGATTCTTTCTCATCATTGATGTTTTCTATCTGTCTCTGCCCCTCCCTCTCTGAAATTAAAAAAAAAAAAAAAAGGAAGGAAGGAAGGAAGGAAGGAAGGAAGGAAGGAAGGAAGGAAGGAAGGAAGGAAGGAAGGAAGGAAGGAAGATGCTGAAACCGGTTTGGCTCAGCAGTAGAGCGTCGGTCTGCGGACTGAAATGTCCCAGGTTCGATTCCGATCAAGGGCATGTACGTTGGTTGCGGGCACATCACTGGTGGGGGGTGTGCAAGAGGCAGCTGGTCGATGTTTCTCTCTCATTTACGTTTCTAGCTCTCTATCTCTCTCCCTTCCTCTCTGTAAAAAATCAATAAAATATATTTTTTTAAATCAATAAAATATTTTTAAAAATTAAAAGAAAGAAAAGAAGAAAGAAAGAAAGAAAGAAAGAAAGAAAGAAAGAAAGAAAGAAAGGAAGGAAGGAAGGAAGGAAGGAAGGAAGGAAGGAAGGAAGGAAGGAAGGAAGGAAGGAAGGAAGGAAGGAAGGAAGGAAGGAAGGAAGAAAGGAAGGAAGAAAGAAAGAAAGAAAGAACTGATGTTCTCAGTCAGTGCCAGGTGAGCTCTACTCTCATGATGGCCATGATCGATGTGGGATCCCCCTCCAGGAACAGGTAGAGGCCACAGGGGTTCATGCCCAGAAGACTCAGGCTGCCTCTGTCATCTCCATCAGGGTTGGGTCCAGCTTGGTGAACCTCATATTTCATGTCCTCCGGCTCAAAAATATGCAAAAAGTGTGTTACAGAGGGGTCCTGTGACTCTGAATGAGCACCCTTCAGTTCCACACACACCCAGCACCCTGGTGCTTGGCCTGACACTCCTGACCCAGGTTCTGTCTGACCAGCCTGACTCTGTGCTGTCTGGCATCACCAGGGTATTCAAGGTCTGGGGACCCCATGGGAAATGTGTATACTTGCAGCCTCCACCCAGGATCACATCAATGTCCACGTTGGAGATGAACTGTGTGGCAATGTCCTGGCAGCCCTTTGTTAATGCCTGGGCAGGCATGATGGCATCTGAGTACCAGTTTTGCTTCACCATAGGTGCCGGCTGGCAAAGCATAGCTGCACCCTCAATGTGGCTTAGGCAATATGGGTTTCCAGCCCTATCCCAGCTCCACCCACCTCCTCACTTGTCATCTTGCAAATGAGGCACTTCCTAAATATTAAAACGGGGCTAGGAACTTATTCTTCATTTGCATGTGGCTTAGCAGCTGTTGAGGGTGTCATGTGTACACAGTAGTTTCTAAGATAAGTTGTGCCTAGGAAATTAGTTTTCTTCTATGTTTCCTTTGTTTACATTTCTACAAGTTAAGTTCATCATGGAAAATTCCAAGTTATTTGTTTAACATCCTTCTCCAAACTAATTTATGGTGGTAAGCCAGTGCATAATCACTTGATGGGGGAAATGGAATGAAAACAACACAAAGAAAACATGTCTGACACTATCAGCCTGGTTAAATGCTGTTCTTTTAATCATTGGACACATGGGATCAATTACTCCAAAGCTTGAGTCATGGTTTATTAGGGAGACTGAAATGACGAGATGCAAAATTATCTGCATGCCCAGACGAAGGTGTTTTGCTTGGAAGATTAATCAGGCCCATTGCTTGGTAGATTAATCAGGATTTAGAACCTAAAAACAATTAATACACCACTAGAAAAGGAGACTATTGCTTCCTTTATCTTCACAATAAGTAAATTATTTAAAAGGAGTAAGTATGATAATAAAAGGCATTACATCTTATTAAATACTTCCTATTATTAGGGCTACCTTTTTGGCAGCTTCACTTGGAGATGATTATTCTAGAATGGGAGACAACCTAAAGCCATACCAACTATTTTTAAATGTAAAAAGAATTTCCTACTCATCAATGCAAACCATTTGCCCTTTCCTCACACCACACACATGCGATTTTCCTATCAATTTGAGTTTCCTCTGTGACCTCAGTGATCGGCAAACTCATTAGTCAACAGAGCCAAATATCCACAGTACAATGATTGAAATGTCTTTTGAAAGCCAAACTTTTTAAACTTAAACTTCTTCTAATTCCTCTTCTTCAAAATAGACTCGCCTAGACTGTGGTATTTTGTGGAAGATAAACACTCAAGGGTGCCAAAGAGCCGCATGTGGCTCGCGAGCCGCAGTTTGCCGACCTTGGCTCTGGGTTCACTCATACAACATTTTGTTAAAAAAAATATTGGGAACTGAACCAGTTGATGGAGCTACAAAGATGAAAAGATAATTTACTATCTTCAAGAAACTTACTATCTAACAAAAAATTCAAGGGCACGTGGATCCAACATAGTTACTGATTGCTTTCTACATTAGCAGGCCATTTTGTAGGCACGAATAAAATTGTAAATGAAAAAGAGAACAAAAAAAAAAGCTGCTTTTCCATGGAACTTATACTCTTGGGGGGGGGGGGCGGGCAATAAAAATAGTCTCAGGACCTAAACCTGTTTGGCTCAGTGGACAGGGCGTTGGCCTGGGGACTGAAAGGTCCCGGGTTTGATTCTGGTCAAAGGCATGTATACCTTGGTTGCGGGCACATCCCCAGTAGGGG